TATTGACTTTTTGAATTTTAAAATATCAGTGAAAGGTAATATGTATAGAATGTACTAATAGTTGTTTGTTTTCTTGCTTTGTAGTCGCGTCTCCAAACGTTAGCTGAAAGAAAGATAACATTAACTTCTGACAAGTAAGATTTGCACTAAATTAAGTAAAAATTTAACATGTACCTTCATTAATACTTGTTCTCTGGATCATGTGTTGTAAACAGGTTGAATGTATTACAACCTCCTGGTCATCTGTATGATTACTGACTGTCAACAATTTCCTGTGCTTATCCCACAGGGAAAAGTTTCAGAACTACCTAGGAGACTTGGGGAAGAGTACAAAACAGTTGGAGGAAAAGAATGAGCAGCTTGTCGAGGAACTAAGAGGACTAAGTATTATATATACCTCTTAATAACTGAGTTTGAGGTTCATACTCTAAGTTACAGACAGGGTTAATTTTTGCTTGAATTTATGGCCCAACCCAAAGCATGCATGTCCGCACAGGAAACATAAGGTACCATAACTCAAAGTACAGGCCTCAAACTCAGTTTGTAAGAGGTTAGAAGGAAATTTTTTCATATCTCTGAGTTCAATAAGAAGGAGAAGATTTAATTTCAAACAAACCTTTAAATGTAGCAGGCTGTACTGTGAAATACAGCCTGCTAAATTGGCCAATCAAGTACAAGTATTTATTTCCTTGTAGTTACAGTATTTGAATCCTTTTAACTTTCTATTAAGTTACAAATGAATGTTATTTTTTGTTGTATCTGCAGAAGTGGAACAAAATGCCATCACCCAAGAAAATGCACGGCTTCAGGTAAATATATGTTACAAGGCTTTGTTGTTGTCGATGTGTGGTTTTTCTTGAATGAAACTCTGACTTTGTGAAGTACAAACATTGTTACTTAACACCCACCCAAGAGAAAACACACTAACCACTGCCTTGTAAGCTCAATAGAGACAGTATCTTACTGCAGTGTGAAAGTTTAAAGTTTCAAGTGTCTGACAGGCCCTATACACCTGAGATTTTATGCAGGTCTTTAAAAACCATGAAGCCTTTTCTGACCTAATGCTTGGGCACCAAAGACCAAATTTTCCAGAGAGAAGGAGGTTCTTTTATCACCATAGGAGAAATCCCATTACATACATGTGCTGTGCTCCAATAATACCTTTTTCTGTGTGCCACAGAGTTTAGCCATCTCCCTTCCTTGCTAATTAACCCTTTAAATCCTGAGAGTGACCAGCAACTAATTTCTCCATAATAATTTATCCATTCATAAAATCATGAGCATAAAGAAAATTATTATTACATGTAATTTGAGAAGCTTTGATTGTTAAATAAACTCTCCTTGGCAGTACCAAGGAATTATACAGAGAAGGGTATGGAAAATACATGGCTATTGAGAATATGGTGTAAAGAATTAAACTTATTAATTCAAACCTTAATTTTAAACAAAGTATGCATATCTTTTCATTCATTTTCTAATCATTACTTGTTTATATTGCAGCAAACTCTGAACAACCAGGAGCTGAGTTCTGCAGATGTTGAAAGAATGAAGCATGAGAAAAAAGAACTACAGAAGGCCATTGAACAACAAGAAAGGGAAAGAGATTATTTTAACCAGCAGATCTGGGAAAAAGAGATGCAATTTGCGAAAAAACATGAAGAGGTTAGCTAGCAACAGGGCATTCAATTTGGAATCTGTCGCTGACTGTAATACTGTCTTACCATAAGGAGTTTGTTTTGTCACTAGTGTAAAAGATAAAACAGAAAGCCTGAATCTTTTTTAACCAACTTTTGGCATCCATTTTAGACTGAGAAGCATGTACGAGAATATAATGAAATGGCAAGGAACTTGAAATTGATTCCACCCTCAGCAGAAAATGCAAATGGTATTGACTTTGAGATGCACTTCAATCCACACTCACAAAGACCTGATCAGAGAGCTCACATGGACTTTAAGGGAACCATAAAGGTATATATGCCCTAATAACATAATACAGCGTGACTGTAACCTATTTGCTGAATTTCCTGAAGTGGCACATTTTTTCATAAGTTATCTCAGATTCATCAGCAGGGGGTAACTATTGAGTTGGGGAACTTTTTTGTCTGGGGAGTGCATCAGTGTAACAGCACAAGAGTTGGCTGTTGGGAAAATGGAAACAAAGAGCTCCATTTTTTGTGACTGCTGTCTCTCATGCTGTGACACTGTTTTGCTCCCCCCCAAAATAAAAATGTATTACACACATAAGTGCATCATTGGTATCACCTCCATGTCTCATTTGTTACATGATGGAAAACATTCAGCCAAGTTCTAAATGTGAAACAACAATTTCATTACATGTTGTATTATTCAACAGCCTGCCCTTCTTCATCTCAAACAACAAATCAGTGAGAAGAGTCGTACCACTCAGTCTCAGGTCATCACTGAAGAGGAAGCATTTGATCAGGTAGAAATTTATGACTGGTTACATACGAAAACTAGATTGAAGGTGTGAACTTGAGTTACTTGATGTAGAAGGGGGGAACTAATAAAAAACGTTTTACAGTCTGTCTCTTCATTATGGTCAAGATGATGGATGTTAAGGTATCCAAGGCCCCTCTGGGTACCAGCCTTACAGCTGATTGGGCCACCATGGTAACATAGAGTTTGCCTTACCTTACCATAAATAAATGTGTTTAAAAATCATTGGTCTAACCATTTAGAGTGTTTATCAATTGATAGCTTGACACCTCATTTGAAATTAACTCTGAATAAACAATAGTCCTTCAGGCCAAACAGGCTTGTATTCTGCAATTTTTCCTTGCTGCACTTTTAGTACATTTAACCATTTAATGTGCTCTTGAATTATAAAATAATGTACTTGGTGCACCCTAAAAATGTGGAGTTTTCGTCAACACTGGAGACACTGAAAACAATCAGTCATTACTTTTGTCCAAGGCCAGGTTGCTCAAAGCTAGATTAAGATGAACCAGGGTAAGTATGAGATCTGATTTCAGATCTAAAAGCTTTAATGAATATAAAATGTATAATCTTTTTGTCTACAATTTGTTGATTGGATGTTGTGAAAAGAATGAAGAAAGTCATCCCTACAGGTTTTCGGACAAAGGAATAAAGAAACCCAGATTAAAATTTAACCTTGGGTTAGTGCTAATCAGCCTTTAAACAACTAGGCCTGAGTGTTCACAACTCTAATTAGATGCTGTTTTATTTAAGATAAGTGAGATGGTGGCAGACAAACAAGAAGAGGTGACAGCTCTGGAGAGCAAACTGCAAGTATTGGACAAGGAGTTAGATTGGAAAAAGGAGGTATTGCAGCAACTGTGAAGTTAGCTGATTTGAACAAGAATAACATCCTGAATTTGAGAAAACTGCATTACACTTGAAAGTTGTTGGGTAGTACTATAGAATGAAATGTTGTAAGAAGCAAAAATTTAGAAAGAGAGCTTCTCTTTTGGTAACAGAATATAAATGTTTGGTCTAACAGTAGGTGCTAAAATTGAAATTAACCATCATGTTTATTTTAAGAGAAGATCCAATTACTGAGCACAAGTAGAGAGCCTTGAGAAGCATAGTAGAGAGCATAGCTGGACAGACATTGCCCCCCCCCCCCAAATTTCAAGGCAAATTATGATAAATTTTCCTTAGCAACATGCCTTAAGACTATGTTCAAACTAACACCATCAGCATCTACTTGTCAAGGATGCTACCCCTTTCAGACTTTGATTGGTATTAATTTTTTGGTCATTTATGATGGTTTTGCCTAATTTGCATAGATCATGGCAAAAGAGTACCAGAAAACCACTGGAGCTTCACAGGGTTTGGAGGAAAGTGTCCAACAGATGAGAGAGAAGGTGTTAGAATCTGAGGAGGCAGTGGAAGACAAAGAAAGCACCCTGAAGGAAATAAAACTCAGGTTACAACATAGCAAAATAGCATCTGTACCATCAAACAAATGAACATGAAACAGATACTGCATTGAGGTTGATAGACCTTTACCAGATCAATATTCACAGATGATGATGACAATGATGTCTAACTTGTAAAATTTACTGCCAGTAGTGTCAAGCATGCTTTGACAAAAAAATGTTTGATCTCTATTAACTGTTTATCACCCAGAGTGGAGCAAAGTGTTGTTGAGCGACAGAAGGAGAAAGAAGAATATTCAGATTTTATACTGAAGGCAAGTCATATGATCATGGAACACAAGACTCTTATTCAGGTAAGCCTTGCTGATCTCAAGCTTTGTATGATGTGACTGTGTGGAGTTTTGTTGAGTTTTCTGGAAAGGTCTGTGCGGCAGAGCTACCAGTATGGTGTGTGGAAGTTCACTTTAAAGGGAGAATGAATCACTTTGACTAGTTCGTTGCAAGTTAATAAGTTTGGAGCCATTTGTCAAAGCTCATCCTTGATGCATCAGCCTCCCCAGGCCAATTTGTACTGATAAGTCAGAGTATTTTGCTTAGCAGAGTGAATTGACAACAAATTGTAACCTTATTCATTACATAACCAGTTGACTGTTTACAAACAGCAAACAAGTGTGCTGAGTTTTTTTTGCTGTTATCAGCCTCTTATTGTTAAATTGTTGTAATTTTTAATTACAGAATCGAACACATGAGCTTCTGAAGCAAGCAGAAGAAATTTATGAGCAAACAAAACAGCTTGAGATTCCTAAAACATCCATACATATTCCACAGGAAAATGGGGAAGAAAATTAAAATACTAGCACAGCAAGAGTTTTTTTCTGGTACTGTAATTTGAGTTTCTAGTAATTCATGTCTGAGGCATTGTATTATAGAAACTTTTTAGTTAACAGCACATTTTCCTAAAATTTATAAATAAGTGAACAATTAACTCAGAGTACTTTTAGTTGCTAGGGAAAACAAAGTATAAATGCTTTTCTGAGTCCCCCCTCCAGGTATTACTCGGCTTTTCCAAGACAAAGCTGTAAAGTGGAATTTTAAACTGCCCTGATCTTCTTGCACAAGGAGGTGTAAATGGTTGTCTGATTTGAATTGTTATTTATTGGAACAGAGAAGTGTTTTGGGGTAAAATGCAATATTTGAGAGTTTGTAATTGTTCATGCAAGTTTGTAAGGAAAGTTTTTTTTCAATCCATGTAAACTAGATATTGTCTTGCCAGTACATATCATCCTCTTGTTTAACACAGTCTTTTATATTTATAGTGCAGTTCTAAATGTGACTAAGTATCAGGCATCAAATTGAGAATTTATGATGAACAGTGTATGTTACTTACTAAAGGAATAAAAACCCTCTTTGTGAGTTGCACTTTTGTGTAATTCTGTTAATCTTGGTGATCTTTCTTTTTTACTTAAATGCTCATTCTAACTCATTCATTTTTTTGTCCAAAACATCAATGAAGAGCAATTGCATAGTTGAGGGACAAAATTGAGCTAGGAAAACAAAGAGGGGGGTTCATCTTTCCCTCTACTTTGTGAACTCCAGAAATAGGCCCATGTTTAATCGTTATGGTAGAGCTCCATTCTCGATGACATTGCGCAGTCAGATCACTTGTAGATTTTCCTCCCTCACAGGTTTGACATTGAGTCCTTAACTCAACTACCACCAGTTGAGAATAATATGACTGGTTTAACATCTGTGGCTTGAATGATGTTTATATTCATGCGAAGAATGTCTGCTCTTGTGGCCTTCAGAATGTTTATGTTTTTCTTGATAGTACTTTGAATTTCTGTCTTTGTGTCTTGGAGAATGATCCCTATCAAAAAATTAATCAACCAAGGAAAGTTTACATCTGTTGCTAGGGCTACCATCTTTTGTAATAAAAGTGTTGCTGCTATTGATGGCCAGCAAAAATCACTGAAACAAAGTCACAGCTGATTACTAGTAAAAGGGAAAAAAACTTACATAGTTTAATCAAGTAGATTGTAAAAAAGTAACAATAGATACCTGTCTCTTCTGTTTTTGTGATCTCTTGACTTTTCTTCAAGTTGTGCCGCATGTTTCTCCTCAGCATGCTGATAAAATAAGGACACATCTGCGCTTTGCATCAATATGATGATTACAAATAACCTCTCTCCATCATTTCTGCTATTTTAATTACGTGTACAACCTTCTTGATTGACTTACTAAAATGAGTTGAAATGTGGCTAAAAACTTGCAGCAGGGGTCAAAGGTGGGGTAGTACTGACCCACTCATGTTCTGGCTGGGATTACAAGGAGAGAGGGTGACAAAAAAAGAGGTTCCAAGACTGCAGCAGCTTGTTGTTAACATTATGGCATCCTTTTGATCTCTTAAAAATTGTTACACTTCTCTTACCTTATGACTTCTTGAGAATTCATCTCCATGTTTCTTTTTCTTTTTAATTCTCTCCATGTTATCATCACTGCTGCTGGGGCTCCTTCTTCTTTCCTGTTTATCTCTCTTCCTTCTGTCCCTTGGACTATCATCACTACTGTAACTTTCTTTCCTTTCTGGCCTTCTGTCCCTTTCCTTTCCACCATGTTTTCTCTCTCGTTTGTTATCTTCGTTGTCATTATCACTGTGCCTTGGTTTTCTTTCTTTTTCGATTGTGGACTTGGAAAAATCTTTATCCTTGTTGCTTCTTTCTTTTTGTCCTTTCTGTTTACTCCCAGATTTTCTATCACTGTGGTCATCATCAAATACTAAATCATAGCTTCAATCAAGGAGTCAAGGAAAAATAAACTTCCCAGAAGTAGCACCCACCCTTTTGGCCATAATTTCAAACAGGCACCCCCCCCCCCAAAAATAACCCTCCCCCTTCCTTCTACCCCACTCTCTTATAAATAGTAGGGATAAAAGCAAAACCTGTTTCTGTTGCCACTTTTTTCACATAACTTTTTAGGCTTCAACTACAGCAGAATCAGAGCAGGAGAATAATAAGCACCCTCCTCTCCCCCCCCTTTTAGAGGGAGGAGAAAGTGCACTCTCTCCCCCCAGGCACTTTTTCAAGGAAATACAGTATATTTAAAAACAAATTTAAACTTAGTTTGTAAGCAGAGCTGATAAGGATACTTTGAAGACTGCTTTTGTCCCTTGATGGCAAATTTAGGTTTGTCCTTTTCACTTTTGTCTGGGAAGACTGGTTTAGCACCTGTGTTGAAGAGGAAAGAAAGAAAGGCTAAGCTGTAGACAAATGATGTTTCACTTGCTTGATATTGTTTATCACACATTTCTTATAATTTTAGCTCGAAGAATTTTATGCCAAATCATACAAATATAACCTTTGGTTGATATTGCTTTAGCTTTCTTCTTTTTTCCTTTATGCTTAAAAACGCATAGATTAAACATGAGGAGAAATTAATTTTTGGTCATTCTTGGAAGTTAAAGAGTTGAACAATAAAATACACTCAGGATTGCATAGTTGCATTTTCACATTCCAGTATTGCCATTTCACTAAAAAGGCAGACGATTTAATGAAAAAAATTACCTTGCTTTTGCATCTGGACTTTAGCCACTGATTGTGAAAAATCAACATGGATTCGCCGATCATCAATAAGCACATTATCCATTTTAAAATAAGCTCGTTCACAGTCTTCGACCTAAATAAAAATATTCTCAGGTTGTTCATTATTATTACTGCTTACCATAATGTAATACCTAGAAGCGATTGGCAAATGACATCTTTTTGCAGTTTCATAAAATTATCCAGAAAACAGGAATTAAGACCAGACAAATTTTCCACCTGAGGAATGTTACCCTCAGCAGATAAAAAAAATTATCAAAAGTTTTCAAAGTATGGGGAGATGTTATATAACAAGATTGAAGAATTGTTGATCATGCCTTGGCAGACATAAGGGTCAAAATTTCTAAACAATAACCTTAAGTAAGCCAATGCACTGTAACTCGCCAAATTCTTGAGCACCATGGAAGAATCATCTGAAGGTAACAAGCACTTACATTCTCAAACTCGATGAATGCATACTGTAAAGATTCTCCAGTCTTCTGATCACGTATGACTTCACAACTGGAATAAAACAAACAAAGTAAAGACTCCAGTACACTTACAAAAGAACACTACTACTCCTAGCAAACATAGCTCCAGCTGATTTAGAACAGTCTGATTAATTCCTAAACTTCTATTACTGACCAAAACAGAATTTCTCCTTATAAGATCAATGCAAAAGCTAGCAGACAAGTTATGAGAATAAAGAAAAATATCAATTAAAGGATTATTAGTTGATCCAATACCAAGTTCTCCAGACTAACATCATAAGAATTGTATGACAGACAGTATGGAGAACCACTCAATCATGAGATCTTAGGAGTGAAAGGGTTAAACGATAGCAGTCTACTCAAGGAATTCACAGCAAACCATACCTTTTAATTGGACCAAATCTTGAGAAAATGATCTCCAGGTCTTGATCCTGAGTGACAGGATTCAATTTGCAAACAAACAAGACATTTTCTGGGGGTGCCATTTCTGCATCTGGAAGATCACCAACCTGACAAAAAATTTAAACTACAATAACCATAATTTTATAGAACAAGGTAACAGGCTTAATCTGAGGCCAGAGGTTTGTAGATATCAAAGGAAATTTAGCTTAACCCATTACACCCTAACATCAGTATGTATATTCTCCAAACTGCTCTCCATACATATCCTAAGGTGCTGACAAGGAGAATTTGTTTAACAATCAAGAGTTGGTGGTCATTTCCTTTATTCTCATGACCAAGCTTGTAATATAAATAATCCAATAGCATACAGTTTGAAAGTGAGACAAATATTTGTGACAAAGAATGCAAGCCTAAATTAAATTTAAACACAGTATGCCTTGCAGTTCTCTCAGATGTGCACAACAAACAGATCAGGTAAACAGTAACTAAATGATATTTAAGCATGCACAATGAGACTTGCCCTTTTGAAAATAGATCAGACTGAGAAGTGATAGTTTGTTGTAGCATTAATACATGATCACAGTTATTTTTTCCTGTGAACACACCTGATAGCTACATCAATTTTGGTTGTCCTTTTTACCAAAGCAGTGATCATGCAATTTTCACTGATGGTTTAATGAATCATGAACAACCACAACCAAAGCAATAAAGTTCAAAGACCAGAGGCTAGGATATTAATAACTTTTTCCACATGCCGATGGTGTGTTAGGAGGCTATACCAGAAAAGGGTCACAAGGCAACACCCAAACACAAGAGCCTGCCAGCTGCCAGAACAGACTGTGATAAGAGGTCCTATGGGCAACAGTTGACTATCAGTAATTGGCTTTCATTGAAATCATCACTTGAGGACTGATTCCTGTGAGCAGTTCATAAAACGTAAAAGGCTCTTTACTGGTAAAATTACCATTTCAAGAATTTGTGTCCCAGCTTTAAGCTCTCGTTCCTCTATCATCTCATCAATTTCCTCCATGGTTTTACCTTTGGTGTCATCAATTTCTTCATCAGCTCCGATACGGCCACTCTGAAAATAAACAACTTTCAGTCTACACAGAGATCAATGCAAAGCAATCTGTTCCAAACCATTTTTGTTCTACTGAAAATCATGTTCTTACTCAAAATAATGTCATTCTCCAATTTCACCATCTAAATTAAGTGTAGTTGTAGATTCTTTAAATATGATATAATAATAGTTTTAAGATAAGATACTATTTGGCTTGCACAGACTACATAAACAAGTAAATGAGCCAAAAAAAAGTCAAAGTTTTCACTTACATCAAGCTGTTCTTTGGTTGGTTCTGGTGATTGATCTGGTACAACTAAGCCAGCTGGATCATCATATGGATCATCAATGATAACTGTGTGGTTTATTCTGTGTTATTAAAAACTGAATCACTGGATAATACAATTCAAGAGTTTTTATTGGCTTAGCCAACATGGGTTATGAGCCATTATACCATGTGGGTGCACGAAGACAAGTTAAACTGTTATTTGAAAGGAATGTATTTGCCAATTTGTGCATCACTTTATATAAATTATTGTCAAAATTTAACAATCATCATGATAAAAGCATTACTGGTACTTAAAATTAGAAAAGATCTCTCTGGTTGCAACTACGCATGACTTCTTTGGACTATGAGTAGAACAGATGATATTTTTTGATGGAAAAAAAAATAAAACCAACATAAAACTGACATGATTGAATACATGCCTGATGTCTTGGTATGGCCTGTGTTCATCATCACAAATTGCTTCATTCAGTTTGTCCAAGACTTCAAATCCTTCAACAACTTCAGCAAATACAGTATGAACACCATCTAGATAGTCCAAATCATCTCCAAGGGTGATGAAAAACTGTTGGAAAATGAATAAGTTCAGATCTGAGCATGCAAGTTGGATGATATAGTGGCATCTCTCTTTTAAGACATCTTGTCCCAGAGGACACTTTTTCAGGTCCTGGGTGTGCAATTAAAATTATATTAGTAGGAAAGAAAATTAATTCTCATTACCAGCAAACTATAAACTGAAGATAACCTGACCAAATTTCAGATGATCACCTATAATAAATAGACTGTCAAATATCCCTTCAAAGTGGTGTAAATATATTCCTTGTTGCTGCATGCACAGCATTTGAGAATATGTGACAGCAGGAACTGTTCACTTGGCCTCTATGACTTTACTGTCCATTGTGTGTCACTTTTCACATTCAACTGTGAAACTCCCCTATCTAACACCACTCATGATGGCCAATCAGATGCCCCTAGAGCACTTCAACTTACTTGAGAACCATGTAAGTTGTCTCCATTGTTTGCCATAGAGACAGTCCCTCTTGATTTATGTTTGAGGCGAGGTTTAGTTTCTGCTTCAAAGAATTTGGCTTGATCTCCATACAAGGACCTAGAGAACATGAGATAAGTAATTAAGAAAAAAAGTAGCACAATTGTGAGAGTTTATTTACCCTATTTTGAAACAGCAGTCGCCATATGGTTTCCCACATTCATTGACCTAATAGAGACAATTGGATTTGACTCAATATTCTTGAG